AGCCGCAAGTCATAATTTATGCCGCAATCCGAAACAAATGCCGAAATCCAAAACATATGTCATAATCTAAATTAATTACCGCAATTTGTCTTATAATAATTTATAAAATCGAATTATTTCAGTATTTAAATAAAATATACTTTTTTTGTTTTTATTACATCACTTAAAATCACTACTTCAATCGATGATATATCAATTATACATATACTTTATTACTTTCAGCACTATATCAATTATACTTTATTACTTTCGGCACTATATCAACATTTATGACATTAATTATGACTTTAGGCATTGGTTATAAGTTGCGACATGAATTTTAGATTTAGCATTGCCGCATGTCAAAATTCAGGTAAAAATTATGCCGCAATAATTTCTACGGCATGTATAGATCAATACCTAAAGTCAAAATTAATGCCTAAGGTCAGAATTAATGTCATAAGTGCCGAAAGTAATAAAGTATAATTGATATATCCCTGATTGATGTAGGGATGTTAAGTAGTGTAATAAAAATAAAATAAAATAAAAAAGTATATTTCATTTAAATAATTCGATTTATTATCCGATATATGAATGACGCCAAGGACATTCATTTTTATTGATTATTTATCTGATGATCGACAACACATCAGACTTTCAATAAAAAAACGAATGTTCCCTTTCCCTTGGCGTCACTCATATACAGTATTAAAATTTATTAATGGCATATATTTTAGATTTCGGCTTTTATTTTGGGATTGCGGCTTTATTTCTACCGAAAAATCGGTGCCTAAATATTCTCAACACAGCCGAACGTCATGTGTATTTAGCGCGCTTAAATAAAAGCTTCGATCTGAAGCATTACACGTAATTTAAAAAGGTTTAACCGTTCTTGAGATATCGCATTAATGTGCCATCAAATAATGCTGATGTTTCAAGAATGAATAAGTCATTATTGGATTTGAATTAATGCTTCGAACATTACATTCGTTTAGATCCATCGCGACAGATTCTGTTCACACCCTAAATTAAATATAACCCCAAAATTTAAATTACATTCTGTATATAAATACTCCGACATATATTTTTTATGATAATTAATCGCCCTAAAATTTTGGGGTATGAACAGAATCGGCGATGCAAAAATTGGATTAGCAAGTGCCGTCAAAGGAAAACCTGCCTGCCATCGGACTTTCAATTTATATTTTGTGTACAGTTAGTCGTCTATGGAAAGTTTAGATTTTTCCATAGACAACTAACTGTACACAAAATATAAATTGAAAGTCCGATGGCAGGCAGGTTTTCCTTTGACGGCACTCATATGATTGGTAAATCCGATTTTTGCTACTTCAAAAATTGTTGATCCTAGATGAATCCTGAGGTTCGTAGCATTCGTACAAAGCCCAAATCACTGATAACAGATCAACCATCTTCAAATTACATAACGTTTTTTCGGATATTTTGTCGTCCACTTTACATCTATCACCTTACCTATCTGACGAGAATGTTTAAGAACTTTTTAATTCTACTAGTCTGTAGAATTCTCAAACGAAGGAATTAGTTGATATCTTCTTGCTGCAATAAATAATTGCCCCTTCTAATTCTATAAATTTAATTCGAATATATATACAGTGATATATCTTTATAAATTATTACTATATACTTCATATTAGAATTTAATAATTACAACTCACTCTCGTTATAGTGAACTCTCGATATAGTGAAGATTCGACATAGTGAATAAATTTGAGTTACCTCAATACAATATAGTGATGTACATATACAGTAGTATTCTCTCGATATGAGCTAATAGTGAAGATTTTCTTTTCGGCGATGACTTCATTATAACAAGAGTGAGTTTTATTTAACTTGATGTAAAAGATATTCATTCAGCAAGTGCTCAGGTAATTTATTGTAGGACTTTTCAACTAATCAATATACAGTATATATATCTATATATGATATTTCTATTAAGTACTTTGTACTATGTAAGATTTCTCTAGGCATATGTTTCCTATATAGCAAGTATAAAATGGATGGTCAATACAAGTTTTGTTTCTTTGCTACAAATAAAAGAATTTAGTTAAGTATACAATATTGGCATACGATCATAACAGGAAATTTTTTCATCGAAATTGATGTTACTCTCATGTGCTGCTACGCAGCACAATACGTTTATATTTTTGCGTGTGATTGATCTTGGCGTTGGTATACACCTATGATTTGTATCCGGAAGCTATTTAGAGTTAAAATTTCTCTTACTGTCTTATAAATACCCGAATGCACTAATCAGCAGCTTCTAGTGGATTTTGGTCAGAATTAAGACCGTGCCACATGATTAGTAATGACCTGAATTTTTGATCTCTGTGATCTCCCAAGACAAATAAGGCCGGAAAATGTTAGAGGACTTGTAATCGGGGACTGTATCAAATTTAGTGATATAACCTTTTAACGAAACATGATTGGATAGAAGCATGCGAAGGCCCAATTTGGAGGTTCATATTATCGGGAAATTCATGGGCCACCAAATTTTTTGCGCCAAGTCGAATTTTTGCTAAATAGTTAATTACACCACGTGGTTCTAAGGCGAAATAATAAAGTTTTTATTAAGTCTAATTATACCATATTAACCATATTAAATTAAAAGGCAAGTAAACGGACGAAGTGCAAAGACTGTTTGAAAATTTTGTGAATATAGTGTGTATATGTGCAAAGATGGACTTTTTTCTTATTTATAAAATTTTTGTGATCAGCCAATCAAATGAATTTTTAATCTACTTATACGAGTAGAGCACCTGCTCAAGAATATGGTCCGATAAATAAATCAAAAGTTTGATCAAAAAATCCTCGAATACTTATAACGGTAGAGCCGGTAGAGCCTGACCCATATTCTACGTTCATAATACCCAACCTAGTATATTACACTACTGGGATGGATTCTGGTTCTTCCATTAATATATCTGCTGGTTCTTTAGTTACTGTAAAAGATGAATCGATTTCAGATAATCGAATCTCTCTTCCAGAACCAAAGACTCCAGCAGAGTTTGCTTTACATATATTACGCAAACAATTCTACAAGATTGCCGATAGGAAGTTATCAAGTATAATGAACCATAACTTGGTGAGTATTTTAGTAATTGAATTATAGACTTTTTGCTTCACGATTCTAATCAAAGCACATTTGTGCAATTAAAGGACCATGAACCAGAATTTGTTCTTAATATAGGACCTAATGTTGATCAAGTATTTGACAAAATATTAAATTCTCTGGGATACATTGCAAGGCATAAACCCAAACCGGTTATCGATTTGGTACTTATTTGGAGAAGAGAAAGACAAGAATTAAAACAAGATGGACCTGAACCATCACATAGACGTCATCCGTAAGTTTTCATTTTGTTTGTTTATTAAAATTAGTTTAGCTCTCCTAAATTTAAAGTGAATTGATTTTATCATTACAACTGATCAGGAGCGATGCGGGTCTGGCTGTCCGAGGTAGAGAAGATGATATTCTTAAAGAACGGAGAAAGGTATGTCAGGTTTCAATTCTTATATTATCCTTTTTTTTATAAGGTTCGATAATTAAAAATGCTATTTCTGAATATATTATAGCAAGCGACATTATTTATTGTCTGCCGTACGCTTATCGAAGTAGTAAAACAGGTCCGACCAGAGACTTTAAGAGATGAAGTCGGAAAGCAAATGGAAGATCTTGCTTTTAAACATGTCTTAGATTCAAGACCGTAAGCATTATAAAAACCTTTTCTGTTAATTTCGTCAAACATATCAAATATCTTTATTTTATTTTTATTTATTCTGATAGAGAGGAAATGCAAAGATCAAGACATGCACTAGCAGTTTATGATTTGTTTGCAGAGCTTATTGGTGAATTATCAAGAATAAGATTTATGACCGTATCCGATCGATTCATTTCAGAATTGGAAAAGGTTACACCAAATATGATGAAAGAGCAAGAAGCAAGAATTGAATTGTTGATTAGGGGAATGCATTATTTACGTTTAAAGGTTTACATTTTTATGCATTTTACAAATTATTCGATAAAAACTTAACAATATATTAATATATATGCGTATATTATATGTATATTAGATTTACCCATTGGAAGCATTAGAGGAAACAGCAGACTTCTTACAAAGCTTAGCCAATTTTTTACGACATGCTCACGGTGTGAGAATAAAACATGCTTACTCACGCTTGTTTGTGCGGTTATTTATGCCTATTGCAGGAGTATGTGTTTGTCTTTTAAAGAAAATTAATTAAGCTATAAATGAATTAATTGCTACTGGTAATTCATTTAGGTAGCTGTTGCAGAAGTTAATTTTCCTACTTGGGTAAAAGCAGTAGAGATTTTATTTCCAAAGGCTTGGCAAATGACCTTTAAACAACGACATTGGAGCGTGAGTAAGAGTTCATTATTTTATCTTATTTTATTTATTAAAATAGTAGTTTATTGATGCATATCATATTTAGGTTGCATACCCTCTTGCTACAGCTTTACTATGTGTCAGCCAAAGAGAATATTTTTTGAGTCATTGGAACAGTTGCCTTTACTCTTGCATAAAGCTCAAGGTTAATTTTAGGTTTATCCCATCAAATTGATGAGAAATTAATATTTAACATTTAAATTATTTTATAGGACAAAGTACAACGACAAATGGCCATGGGTTGCATAGTGCGGCTTTTATGGACATTTTTATATCGATGTTCGGAAGGAACAAACACTACATATAATAAGCTTAGTGAAATAATTAGGCATTTATTTCCGGCAAATCGCCGGTCTTGTTATGTAAATTTGGATTTATTTGTTCAATTCATTCATTTTGTTGGAATACGTCATCATGATTACTGTATGAAAAATCTTATATTCATGCTGATGAATTCGGAAAATATATCCAATCCTAGTGCATATTCATTAGAACTAATTGCTCCTGAAAGAATGAGAATTGGAATAAGATCATTTATGATGATATTATACAGTATGCAAACCTCTGAATTGAGGCCACCGTTTCCTAGTAATCCGGATCTATTTGACCAAAGACAAGGTCTTGGCATAAAAATTTCTCCAGATGTTCTTTCAGATGATATTTTTAACCAAGCTGGCTTAAAAGAAAATGTTGATAGATTTTGTGAAATTAGTTATAAAATAGCTGTTATTTTAGATCATCATTTTGGCAATTTAACTGTGTTAGATGAAAAAAATTTATCGAAAGCTATTATCGATTCTCCTAATATGATCACCTACACTTATAACTCGATGACAATAGCCTATCCCAAGGATAGACAACCTTATTTTAATTTGATGAGAGAATATGTTGATTCACTTCCTAGGCTACTAAACAAAAACAATAGATCAAAAGCTGTTGAAATGTTGTGTAGGTATACTGTGCACGTTGATCCAAACCTTGCTAGGTCTGCCTCCGTTGCCTTAATGCGCATAGCAGATCAATGTGGTGCCGAAACAGTCATTAAAATGTTCTCCCGTTTTGTACACAAGATTGAAGATAAATTTTATGAGATTCTCATTGGTGTAGTTCCGAATCCAGCAAGTGGTGCTCAGGTTGGATTCATCGGAATTTTAAGACTATACTATGATTTACTTAAACGCTGGTTAAATCAATTACAGAATAATAAGCCTAATGAAATAGTTGGGAATTCTAATGACATTGAGGACCCAAGTATATGGACAGTTATTGAAGAAACAGAAGCAAATGGTTTGTTGTTTCTTTGTAGCCGATGGTGCATGATCAGAAAATATGCAATTAGCATTCTTCATCTTGCCGCTGAACTGGACCTACAATTTCATGAACGCAAAGAAAAAAACAACTCAATGCGATCGTGTGCTACTAGTGTAGAAAGCAAACGATCTGGCTCTGTAGATGATAGTGCTAGTATTAATACAAAGCATGATGAAACTTTACTCAATAATCATTCTGGGATCAAATTGTCATATTCTTCTAATGGAAATGATAATAAATCAGATTTTACATGTATTATTCATGTACTTGAACGTGGTGGTAAAGAATTAATTAAATTCGACACTGAATTACAAAATTCACTTTCGATTGTTGAAAGTGTAAGATTGACAAACCTTCAAAAATCAGGAAAAGATATTCTTCTGCGCCTTGTTGAAAGTGAAACTCAAACTGATGCGGCTATATGGGCTAGATGTTTCCCAAATTTCATTAAAACTTGCACAGAATATTGCCCTGTGACAGTAGCGATATGTAGGAACAATATTTGTACTCGTATTGTACAAATGCAAATGGCTATTGTTGCAGCTGGTGAAAATCTTTCACGTACACCCACAGCAACTTTGTCAGTACCGAGATTCCATTACCAAAAAGTAATTTTATCTGCAACGGATGGACTCATCGAACAATGGAGGTCTTATTTAATTGTCGCTTGTTCCACTATTACTTCGACCGACGAATTAGCGGATCAAAAATCATCACCTAATATTCGTAAACGGACGCCACTAACTGAACGTATTGGTTCTGCTAGAGATTTGTTCCGTATGATTTTACCTCTTCTTTCATCAGAGCATGCCACAATAAGAGAATCTGTTGTAACTGCCTTGGGAAATATTAATGAAAATGTCTATAAAGTTTTGCTTGAAGATATGCAGCCTTACTTCAAATCAGTAGTCGATGATTATAAAACTAAAGTTAATAAACAGCAATATTCTAATATACATAAACGTGCTAGAAAATATGAAAGATTGCGAGTGGAACTTGCACATGTTTATCAATTGACAGCACATTTTCTTGTAAAGGAAGAAATAATAAAAGATTCCAATGTTTCATCATTAATCATGACATTTATCAGAGAAACCATAGCTTTCCTTCGTGATCCTGAAGTTACCAATGACTGGGATTGGCAAAAGCTTCGCCAGTACTTTTGTGGCGTTGTTGAAAAACTATATGATGGATTTTGCGTTTTAAATTCCGAAAACAGTGAAATGTCTCTTGAGATGCGTACATTAATTTTTAAAATGATTGAAGAATGGTGTGGTCATGGTAAGAAAGCTGTTCAATACCGAGCGAGAGAGGCGAACATGCTGACAACGATAATGGATCAATACAGAGATTCTGAAGAAAGAAGACCTTTAACCACACAATTAGAAAATGACAGAAAGGCATTAGAATTTGCTGCATTAAGTGCTATGGCTTCGTTATGTGTGAGTATTATTAAATTTATGTTTAGATACATATTTATTATGATCAGCATATACGATGTATAATAACTTTATTATCAATAATAGCGTGGAAATCTTGCTAAACAAGAGTCTGGCGTAGCAAAGAAACAGTTAATGGATGCTGATTCTGTATTTCCTTGGATACATTCTGTATTTGAAGATCTGCAAGATAGATTACAT